AATAACATGGACAGGAGTGTTTTTGAGTAGTAATTGTTGGTTAAGTTGTTACTATTTACATGTCACATGATATTATAGTACACAGGGCCCATAAGAGACTAGAAATGGGAAATTCCCATTTCCATAACAGGAAGAGGAAAGAAGCAGCAGGGCATGGCACAGGGCAGCATGCCCTGACACCTACCCTTGAGCCTTGTTTGCAGCATCATGGCCATTGCAGCCTATAGTGGCCTGCAATGGCGACCCTTGGTGCCGACCCCAGACCAGTGTCTAACAGCTTGGCAATAAATGAATGGTATGTGTCACAGCCATGCATTCTGGCCCGCTCCCCACCTGTTCCCCGCCCATCCTGATGCCACCCAAGCCCGTTACCGCTATGCAAGCATGAGCACAAGCCCCAACCTCAGCCCTATCCTCCCTGAGGACTCCCTGCTCACTCCCCCGCTTGCCCCTAGGCTCCCCTGCACCTGGCCGACTCCCCCACAGCCTCACCAACCTTCCTGCCCTGAGCCTGCCTCTGGCACCATGCCGAGTGTGACTCCTCTACCCCACCCACTTGGCCCCTACAGGGCCGCTACCATTCCCACACCCAACTCCAGCCCAACTCCGAGTCCAGTGCCACTATGATACCATCACCACTATCGTGGCCCTATGCTCCTTCCTTTATTTATCTGTTATTGTTTGTTTTGACCCTCGGTCATTGCTGGCCACTATGCAGCCAACCCCGCTCCTTATTCATGTTTGCTTCCGGACCCTTTGGCCTCTGGCCCAGGTCCTCTTCCATTCATCTCTTCCTCCTATATATATCCTGTATGATACTTTATTGTACCTTGGCTCTAATATCGATTTGACCATGACCCCTTATGTTACGGATACAGAGTCTCCAATGACCATATCCGTCACATGGTCAAAGACTTCTCCTCACTATCGTTCCTCCTCTCTTTCTCCCTTCCGTCCTCTATCCCGATACCCTATCCTCCTTACCCATTCTACCCCTTTCCCCCCCCCTCGTGCAAAGCTTTCCCCAACTGGGGTTTTGGTGCTGGCCGAGGTTATTTGTGTTTTGCGGGATTTCCCACGACCTTACCATTTGTAGATAGTCACGTGTCTTGTATGGAAACCGCCAAAGGCAGTTCCCGCTAACTAACAACTGCTCTACAACTGTCTCGTGTACCGTCTTCTGTAACAACCCTCCCTGTGACTCAACTGAACCCGTGTGATTGTACAGCTCTCAATATGTCTTATATGTCTGGTTATATCGAGTCCTCTAATGGCCCTCACCGTGAGAACTCGATGTTGCGAGTCAAAGACTCTCGACATGTATTTCGTCCTATGGAATCTGTACCCTATGGGTCCTCCTCACTATGCTCTCCCCCCAGTACTCGACACACGACGTCCCATCACAATCGTGGAGATCGTGAATACTCTGAGGCCCGCTTACCCATGATGCCGGCACGTTCGCTACGCGAACGCCAAGTAGCCGCCCATCCACCGTCTGTTTCTTCCTTTGCAAGTCATCATGTTTCCCTGCCAACGGTACGTTCCCTTTGGGAATGCCAAGTCACCGAAGGCCCTATTAGTCAGTCCTCATTGCATGCCTATGATATCAACTCGCTACCGGTACGTTCGCACTGCGAACGCCAAGTACCCGATAGCAACTATATGAAGTTCTCACCCATCTCACAAGTCGCGACCTCGCACACGGTACGCTCCATTGAGGAGCGCCAAGTATCCGTGGCTGACCCATCTGTCCTGGTATCTCCGACTACCTATCATCAATCCCTTAATGGCTCACTACATCACCAACCGCGATCGATGGGAATTCGATCGTCCGCTCCCAGGCAAGACTGGGATCACTCATCGATTACATATCCCGTTATGGTACAGACTAGACACGACCCTCGTCATCCCACTATAAGAACGGATCGAGGAATGGGGATGGGGGCCCCGTAACACCTTAAGTCCTGACCCCAGCAAGGCAACCCCAGTAAGTCTGAAATGAGGGCCAAGAGACAGCTAGGGGGCACAGCGCTCCTTTAGAGTTGCTGAGGCCAAATGCCCTACCCTCAGGCCTTGTTCATGGCATCATGGCCATCGTGGCCTATAGCGGCCTGCAATGGCGACCCTCGGTGCCGACCTCAGACCAGTGTCTAACAGTATGTAGCTGAGCAGTCAAGAAGGTTAGAGTGGTGGCAGGAGGGGAGAAGGCACCACTGCAGAGCCACAGATGGGGGTCAACTAGCAGCGCTGCTGAGTGATGGATTACAGAGAAAGCTGATGGGGCAGAATAGGTGGTGAGGAAGTTGACCTGTTTATTTATCTTTGGGGACAATTCTGGTGCCCTCAAATGCCTCAGGTTGTCAAGAAGGGGTCAGAATAATTCATGGGAATTTCAAAAATATTCAGCCCATGTATTATATCAGCCCCTTGAAACAGTAATCAGCTGGTGCCCAGTGCATTTTGGCATTATCAGGAGTGATTGCACAGACCAGCTAGCAAAGGAGGGTTCACTTGGACTTTAATTCCTGTTTTGAATTATCATGTATTCATTTTAAAGGTAATATGCCTTACATGAGCATGTAACTTTAATATCCATTGCCTGCTTTATATGGGAATATTATGTAGAATGATTTGCCAAGGATTTGTTTGTTTAGTTAATTTGGAGACAATTGACCTCAATTTGCAATCATGTGTTCTCCCTCTCCAAAAAATCAGTGTACTGCATTTCCCAGCATTGAGCATTCTGGGAATCCTTATGTTCTTCATCTAGTCTTCCACATTTTGCAGGTCTTTTGGTAGATGCAGGTGGTCTCAAGCTGATGGTAAAGCCAGTTTGTCACAAAAATTCCTTTGGCACACCAAGAAAATTGAAAGAAAAAAAAGACTTGTCTATCACTCAGGATGATCCATCTCTGTTACGGGGATGGGGGAAATTCCCCATTCCTCGATCCGTTCTTATAGTGGGAAGGCAAGAGTCATGTCTAGTTTGTACCATAACTGGAAGTGTAATCGATGAGTGATCCCAGTCTGACCTGGGAGTGGGCGATCGAATTCCCATCGATCGCGATGGGTGATGTAGTGAGCTATTAAGGGATTGATGATTGATAGTTGGAGATATCAGGACAGATGGGTCAGCCACGGATACTTGGCGCTCCTCAATGGAGCGTACCGTGTGCGAGGTCGCGACTGGTGAGATGGGTGAGAGCTTCGCGTAGTTGCCATTGGGTACTTGGCGTTCGCAGTGCGAACGTACCGGTAGCGGGTTGATATCGTAGGCGTGCAATGAGGGCTGATTATTAGGGCCTTCGGTGACTTGGCGTTCCCAAAGGGAACGTACCGTTGGCGGGGACATATGATGACTGGCAAAGGAAGAAACAGACGGTGGATGGGCGGCTACTTGGCATTCGCGTAGCGAACGTGCCGGCATCGAGGGTAAGTGGGCCTCATAGTGTTCACGATCGCCATGATTGTGATGGGACGTCGTATGTTGAGTACTGGGGGGAGAGCGGAGTGATGAAGACCCATAGGGTACAGGTTCAATAGGACAATACACACGTCGAGAGTCTTCGACTCTCGACTTCGAGTTCTCGTGGCGAGGGCCGTTAGAGGACTCGATATAACCAGACTTATAAGACATATTGAGAGTTGTACAGTCACACAGGTTCAGTTGAGTCACAGGGAGGGTTGTTACAGAAGACAGTACACGAGACAGTTGTAGAGCAGTTGTTAGTTAGCGGGAACCGCCTTCGGCGGTTTCCGTACATGACGCGTGACTATCTACAAATGGTAAGGTCGCGGGAAATCCCGCGAAACACAAACAACCTTGGCCAGCACCAAAACCCCAATGGGGAAAGCTTTGCACGAGGGGGGGAAAGGGGTAGAACGGGTAAGGAGGATAGGGTAGCGGGATAGAGGACAGAAAGGAGAAAGAGGGGAGGAGCGATAGAGAGGGGAAGTCTTTGACCATGCGACGGATATGGTCGTTGGAGACTCCGTATCCATAACAATCTCTGCCTGAATGTCAGGGATCGACCCCTGACCCCCCTGTCAGGGCACTCAACCACACCCCAGAACCACCCTCCCTGACTTCCCCCACTTCCCCCACTTCCCTGACCTCCCCATCCCTACATATCTCTCACAACTACAGCCCACATGTGAGCCCATGGGAAAAATCACGTGGGTCAGTGACACCTTTTCTGAGTCGCAGGAACATGCTTGGCTTCTACCCAGAGTCATGTTATGAACTGTACAGTACATGTTCCTTTTATAGCAGCCAAGCGGGGAATAGGGAAACTCACCTGTCTTCTCAACTCAATCCCCACTTAGTCCCTTCAGTGAGTTTGAGGAGCTAAGGACAGGGTCTAGCACCCAGCCACCCAGAACATCGCACACACCTAGGCCTGAGGCCAGGCTGTCCCCGATTGAGGACCGAGCCCTGACACTGAAGTTGGAGTTGTGTCTCAAAAATTGATATGTGGGACTCTTGGTGCTGAAGCAGGATGACATGTTTTTGACCAGAAAGCCTCCCACACTTCAAAAAGAAGTCTAGCACCTCGATCCCTACCTCCAAGCATCTGTCCATAAAGGCCACAGCCCTGTGGGTCTCCCTACCAGGAGATCATGTGCCTTTGCCTCTGTTGCTCCTTGACGCTTGGGTGTCCCAGAGCCATATCAATTTGAAAGGTGCCTGGTTTTCCCTGAGGTACACCATTGGCCTCAAGGTTATAATTTTTCTCACTTGAATTTTAGGTACAACATTTAATGGTTTGCAAAATCATTCTACCATTGGACTGTTGGTGGCAAGATGAGCATCTCAGAATGTTTCAGTGTCAGTTTCCAGAGGGCATTCTTGGTGACAAGTCATGTCACATGACATGTATACAACTTAACCATCTACCATCATACACAACTTAGCCCCATGTCTACATCATTGTAAACCCACCTCTGCTATAATATCTGTAAACCCAACCTATGTCTACCCTATCCCCTGCACCTGAACATTATAGAAATAGCCCCATTTTTATACCAGTATCCTCCAGGGCCACACTGAGAAGAGGGGTGGTGGCCATAGAACCCTTGGGACCATAGAACAGATGGGAATGGAGGCATTTGTGTGCATCCTCCCCCCAAAGGAATCCAGCAAATTCCTCTTCTACTGTCCTAATGAATATTAGGTACCAGAGCAAGAGGTTTGAGAGACCTGCATGCAAGTGTGATGAGCTTGCACTGTTTTGTCTGGGAATTCATCAATTGGGTTTGGATTAGCTGAACCAGTCAACAGAAATAAAGTAGGGGGAGAAGCTCACTTTATTATAGCCAATAATGGTGGCCAGTCCCCCTGGAAATGCAGACAAACTCTTCTGGCTATTTTGAAGGTTTCTGAACAGGATACTCAAAATTTTCATTCCCCTTGTTGGTTGTCCACCACCTACATGGATGGCAACCAAGAACAATTTGTTGAGGGCCAAAGCACCCTCCATCCACCTACTTACCATCAATCAGTTCCACTCCAAGTTGCCCCCTGGCCTGGCAATGAGCCATTCAGGTCCTCTCAATGAATACAAGACATGAGTTCTAATTTGGTCAATGTGTAGGTTGTCAGACCCTAGGAAGCTATAATGTGGGGTGCATCCCATCTAGCCTCTTCTTTTCGAGAGAGATCAGTGAAGAAGCTTTCCACCTCAGCACTTTGGCCACAGAAAAGCCCTTATCCACTGCCCATGATGGTGCCTTCATGCTGGAATAATGACCTGTACCATGGTTGGAACAATATGAAGCTTGACATTTGGATGGGATTTACTGTGGCTATGTCTAATGGAATCCTCCTTGAGATCTGCAAATGTGCAGCTGGGGAATGCACACATGTAACCCATTCAGATCAGAATGCACTGGAGAGGGGCAACCTTGGACTGTGAATGGACAACCCAGTGGCCAACCCCTAAGGCTTCCAGGATGTCATTGTGGTTGGGAGGCAGCTTACTCTTACTAAGACCTCCATGGATGGTTTGTACATGTTCTTCCACATACTTGCAATGAATGCCAATTTGACACCCTTGGCAAATCTCTGGGGGATTATGAGGCTGGCTGAATGCAGAACAGCACCAGTGCTGTCATGGGGATTGACAGCTGCACTCACAGAGGGCAGCTGACTTGGGATATATGTGCTTGGGAAGGATGGCAAGCGGAGGATAGGAGGGGAAGATGCCCTTGAAGAGGATCTGAGCTCCATCACCTTTGTTGCCTTGGCTCATATATGGGGGTATTTACATGCCACTTGGGTGCATGGAGTGGGACAGTCCAATTGGGGACAATGGAATTCATTAGTTTCTGTATTATGCAAGATGATGATTTCCTTTCCAGCAGCAATGAGTTTGATTGAGGGGGAGTGTTGTCTCTTTTCATTCCAATCTTCACTCTATATATAGTCATGTGACTTTGGAGTCGACTTTATCCTTTCTACTTATTGTATCAAGGCTAAAGTCTACTCTAGACTGCCCCAGGGCTGCTCACCTGAGTTACTACACCGATCTCTCCAGACTACCTCCACTCTTTCACTAACCTCGGAGCTCCCGTATTCTGCAATCACCTCCGCTTCCCTCGATGGTCACCACCCCCTCTTTTCAATATATTACCAATGCCTCCCTAAGTACAGAGCCCCAAAGGCTTCCAGACAGCTCTGACATCCACTAGCACACCCCCACCTCTGCTGGGCAATACATTCGCTTGCCCTGCAAGCCCACCTTCAGGCCTATCCCTCCTTTCCATTTCGGGGTTATTGCCTACCATTCCGCTAACCCCATAACCCGACTTGTTGGTAATATTCAATTGGCTAATGTTTAACCCCGTTAGCTCCGCTCCGCTTGGCCCCATTGTTTATGGGCCTGCCCCTGCTGTAACTATATATACTTGACTTGTAAATAGGTTACACCTCAGTAATAAAATCGACTAGAGTTGACCCCCTTTAGTTCTGGTTGCCAGTTAGTAAGTTAGGGCACAGACGTGTTACTTGGCACAGTGCTCCTGGCATAAGTCACTGAGGCCAAAGCCCTCTGCCATGGAGACATTCCTTCGTCTTGATCTGGTCTCTGACAGTTGGTGGAGGTCCTAGGAGGTCTGTAGTAATGTTGGGTAGATAGAAATACTAATAATCTTCTATGATGAGGATACAGGGTACTGGAGAAGGTACCGGAGATCGGAGGTGGAGGTGGACTGGGAGGATATGGCAGCAGTGAGGGAGTGGACAAACTGGAAGTGAACCAGAATGGTGGCGGAGTAGGTTGGAGGTTGGGCAGAGTTGGTATGGATATGATACAAGGGTCTTTTGCTTGCTGGAGTGTCAAGTGGAAATTGCGAACTCACTTTGGGTCCACATAAAATTGTGGTGGTTCCTAGCGATGCCAGGGATCAGTGTGATATAAAATAGAAAGTACTGAAAAAAATGTAAGGTGGGTGTCCTAGAACCCAGCTGTGAGTATCAAATATATGTGACTCACAGTGGGTAGGATGATAGTGACCTGCTTGGGTCATGTGAACCCTATATACATGGACTGTGACCTGACAGTTTTCGCATTAACTGCAAGACATCCAGCTTGCAATATAGCAGCAAGCTGGTTCACTCCCCAGTTGATGTGACTGGGAATTGTGCAAAACAATCAAACAACAACTCCTGCTTACGCAGGGAGCCGTTTTTGATTGCAAAAAATGTGGAAAAAACTTCCACATCGTTGTTACCGTCTCACAGCCATAGCGAGACGTCTAGCTCACCACCTAGGTGCAAGCTGGTTCAAACCCCAGTCTATAAGACTGGGAATCATCCAAAACCCTCATGGAATGACCCCTGCTTGTGCAGGGAGCCAGTCCTGAGCGAAAAAAATGTGCCAAAAATCTCCACATTGCAGTCATCATCTCACAACTGCAGTGAGACTAGTGCCTCATCCAGGAATGAGTGCACCCACTCTAACATGGACAAAGACTCCATGTCATCCAAATCAACACATAAACCTGTGTTGATTTCGCCTCTATCCAAGGCACTTCTGGACTTTGTCCAGTTCCCACCTGAATGGAGGGTGGGGAGCACAGAACAGATAATTGCCAGACTCGAAGTCTGGGAATCAATAAGGAAGACCAAGGCACACAGTGAGTGCCTTGGGAACCCCACATCTGGGGGACAACCATCATCGCATGGACTTAACATGTGCAATGTTTCTCATCATCCTTCTTTGGATATGCAGGAGCAGAGGGGATTCTCCCAGAATATGGTGGAATGGCACCGCATCAGGCCACAGGATGACCACCTGCATTTAGGGCCAGGTTCATCTGGTGGTGGGAGGTGGTCTAGCCAATTACCCTCTGGGAAGTCACCAAGGAAACCCTCCCAAAATATGGTGGAATGGCACCACATCAGGCCACAAGATAACCACCCAGAATTGGGGCCAGGTTCATCAGGTGGTGGGAGGTGGTCTAGCCAATTACCCTTTGGGAAGTCACCCATTGCCAAAGCAATGCCAACACCAGTTTTTCCTCTGGAAAAACCTCATGGTCTATCCATGAGAGACAGAGATCACACTCTCTGTAACCCATTTTTGGGGGAAAATTTCAATTTTTCCCCTTCATCATCTGAAAGGGATACCACTATACTGTCCACTCACTATGGGGAACCCATAGTTACCTGCACAGCAGTGTCACTCTGTCCTGGTGAAATTATGCCATTTCTGCCACTTGTGCTGATGTGTACAGTTTCCATTCTGGGTTTTACCCAGTGACTTTTATATTCTTTACGTACTATCAGTAGACAAATCTTGTGTGTCACATGTCACTCACTGTCAGCCACTTCATGACCAATCTGTAACTACCATTCCCATTTCGTCTTTTTGTTCATCTTTCAAGAACTTTGCATGTCCTTCCACTCTGTCAGAAGATGGACTGAAGATGGATGGGTTTCTGTCTGAGTTGGGGTTGGATGTTTGGCAGAGGTCTGTTTGAGCATGCATGTGTGGATGTTCAGGTGGAAATATGCAGCATGTCTGGAAGCACTGTTCAGAGTTAGCAGATTGGGATCATGGCCCAGCAACTCAAGTGGAGTGCTGTGCCCTGAGCTTGACGTTTGGGGGAGATCCCGTATTTACAGATTGACACTTACAGCAGACTTCAAACAAGACTTGCAGGTGGAGCAGGCCTGTAGGAGAAGTGCGGACTCCACGAGCACGAACTCAGAGGGGGGAAAGCCCCCTTCCCAGAAGGAGGGACTCAGACCAGAACAGGGGGGTACTCTAGTTGATTTCAGACTGAGGTCCCTGAAAGTATTTACAGGATATAAATAGGCAGGAGGGAAACAAAGAAGGGCCAGTCGGTCTGGCACAGTCCGGCATGGAAATGAGTGGGGATTTGTCAGGGGACGACTCCCAGGTCCCCATGACCCTCCCCTATGGTCCACAGCCTGACCTATGAACAGCCCTACTGTGGGTAAGGAGATGAGAAGGAAGCTAACTTCTCATCTTCCCACAGTGGCCACAATATCAAGCAAACTTCCGGGGATACCTGGAAGTCACATGAAGGGATAGGGACTGGGCCCGGAGCATGTGGCGCACGGAGCGTGCGTGCATGCGGGAAGTGCAGCAGGTGGATGCAGGTCTGGATGTGGGTCCGGATGCGGGTCTGGATGCGGGTCCGGGTCTGGGCTAGTCAGGGTGTGTGCCCTGACAGGATTGTCAAACTGAATAAAGACAAGAGCCCAGGAAATGGGAGGCAATGAACTAAAGCAAAAGCAGATCAAGTACCGATATTGACAGGTAATAAGAAGTGCATCAGCACACAGATCAAGAGCCAATATTGGCAAGTTAAGCGAATGAATAGATGAACAATATAAGCACTCAGCAAGGAATGAATGGTATGCTGCTGAGTGGCAAAAATGGCCAGAGGGGAAAAGCAGAGGTCAGTGCACAGCACCGATACAAGTCCGCAAATAAGCAGGGTTGGTGCAGCACCAACACAAGTCTGCAAAATGGGATGTGGGAATCAGTGCGGCGCTGATAAGTCCACAACAGAGGGTAGTCCGTCAGTGCTGTCACAAATGAGGACAGCGTGATGGCCAGCAAAGGTATGGAGGGGAGTGTTGACCTGACTACAGGGTGTGGAGGTCAACCAGGAGTGGCAGAGGTGCAGAGGGTGCAGGTCATATTCATCTACAGCCATTGTCCTCCACTACCTCCGATCCTTCCGGACTACCTCCACTCCTTCATCACTAACCTTGGAGCCTCCATATTCCACAATCACCTCTGACTCCCTTGATGGTCACCACCCCTTCAATTCAATATATTACCCATGCCTCCCTAAGTACAGAACCCCAAAGGCCTCTGGACAGCTCCAACATCCGCTAGCACACTCCTGCCCCCACTGGGCAATTCACTTGCTTGCCCTGCAAGTCTACCTTTGGGCCGATCCCTCCTTTCTGTTTCTGGGTTATAGCCCACCATCCTGCTAACCCTGTAACCCGACTCATCGGTAATATTCGGTCAGCTAACGTTTAACTCCATTAGCTCCACTCTGCTTGGCCCCGCCATTCATGGGCCCGCCCTTGCTGTAACTATATATACATAACTTGTAGATAGGTTACACCCCAGTGATGAAATCGACTAGAGTTAATCCCCCTTTTTAGTTCTTTCTTGCTGCCAGTAAGTAAATTAGGGCACAGACATGTAACTTGGCACAGCGCTCCTGGTCTGAGTCGCTGAGGCCGAAGCCCTCTGCCATGGAGACATATCCTTTATCTCGCATCCGGTCTCTAACAGTATTTTATCACTCCCTGACAGTACACATCTTGTATGGCACCCAAAGCCCCTTGCACTCGTTCACAACTATGCACATTGGTCCCTAACTCCGCCTCACCATCTCCCGAACCCTTGCAGCCTGGTCCTAGTCATCTGGTGAGAAACTCAGTTGAGTTTCACAGCTTCTCTAATTTAGAAACCCCTCTCCCATCGACTCCGATCATGTGCCCCATGAGAAATCGATCACCAGTTGCAGATTCCGACTTGGGAGATGCCACAGAACAGCCCATAGATCCAGTCCACTTCTTTGGACTCGGCTCCGAGGTCCCTGACTTCGTCGACCCCCCTCCTGCTGACCCTCCTATCCCTACTGTCCCAGCCACCGACAATGCCGAGCCTATCCCCAACATAGCTATCACACAGCTAGCCCAGGCCATCGCCAGTTTGGCTCATCACACTGGATGCCCACCTCCACCACCATCCTC